TGACAGTTGATAATGCGAATTTTAATAATGTGATGGTTAGAGAGTTATCCAAGTAATTTACTAGATGGAACACTAACTTGATGGAAGGTAAGCATGTTCATGTGAGATGTATGTCTCACATCATCAATCTAGTTGTTCAAGATGGGTTGAGAGAAGGGAGTATGTCTGTTGAATGAATAAGACAAGCTGTTAGGTACATAAGACAATCTCCCGCAAGATGGAAAAAGTTTAAAGAATGTTGTGATCTTGATAGGATAACTTCTAAAAAATTATTGTGCTTGGATGTTCCTACTAGGTGGAACTCCACATATTGGATGTTGAAGGTTGCTATAGTTTATGAGGAAGCCTTTACAAAATATTGTGATATTAATTATGGTTTGATGTCATGTATTTCTAACTGCATTTGTGAGGATGGACAACCTGCAGGTCCACTTTTAAGTAGTGATTGGGATAGTGTAAGACGTATTGTGAAGTTTCTGGAAATTTTTTATGAACTCACCTGGAAAGTATCAGGTACACTTTATATTACGTCTAATGTGCACTTTCTTGAAATATGTGTTGTTGATTCTTCTTTGAAAGAGTTGATGCAAAATGAAGATGCTTTCTTGAGAGAAATGATAAAGAATATGAAAGAGAAATTTGACAAGTATTGGGGCGATCCACATAAGATGAACAAAATGATTTGCATCTCATATGTGCTTGATCCACGACATGTTTAATACTCTTTCATTTGCGCTTGGTGCTATGTTTGGAGAAACAGTAGGTTTGAAAATACAAGAGGATGTGAAAACATACATGGATACTTTGTTCAATGTGTATGCAATGAAAAATGGTGGTTCTGGTTCATGTCCATCTTCTCCATCTTCTTCACCATTGCTCTCAAAATTCATGCTAGATTTAAAGAAGCATAAGAAATGTGGCGGAGTTGATTCTAAAACAAAGTTAAATAAATATTTGGGTGAAGATGTTGAGGAAGAACATGAAAGTTTAACATTCTGGGGTGGTGGAAGTTGAGCTCACCTAGATTTCCCACTCTTGCTGAGATGGAACCTGATGTGCTATCCATTTCGATTTCTAGTGTTGCCTCAGAATCAGCCTTTAGCACCGGAGGATGCATACTTGATCCATTTAGGAGTTCATTGACTTCTAGATTGGTTCAAGATCTTGTGTGTGTCCAAGATTGGCTTCGGAATGAATCAACAACTCCGGTTAAAATTGAAGAAGATTTAGATAATCTTGAACAACTTGAAGCTAATAAGCCTATCTTATTACTTGTGTTTAATGTATACTTTATTTGTATGTTTATTTAGATTACTTCTAAACTAATTTCTTGTGTTACTATCTTATTTATAATTTAAGAATACGGGAAGAGAGCCTTGCATTGTCGACATATAGTGATTTTCCATTTGTTGTACAAGCTTAGGTATTTCATTATACACTTGCTTCTTGTTTTGTTGTATGTTTCTGGAATCTGGATAGCTTGAAGCCTTGAACTGTCTTTTTCTTTCTCTAAAAATACTCTTTGAATTGTTTGAAATTGTAGATTTTTAACTGGTTGTCTCACAGTCCTACTGAGAATCTGAGATTGAGAGCTACATTTGGCCTGGTTGCTGGTTATGTTGCTGGTTTGTGTTGACTGTTGCGGCTTCCCAAAAGTTAAAACTTGGAACTCTTTTGTTTTGTGCAATCTGTCAAAGAGATGTTGGGGATTTAGTAGTTTGGTTTGTTTTATTTTGCTATGACAGTATGGTTTGAAAGACAATTGATTGTGTTTTGTTTGGAGTCTTCAGTTTAGTTTGGTTTGAAACTTTAAAAGACAATTGTTGCATTATGTAATATTTCAGATTGTGGTTTTGTTTGGAGATGAATGGTGTTTACTATCCAGTATCAGTTGTGTGGAGAACTGAAGATGAATTGTGTTTTGTTTGCATTCTGAAAATGCTCTTTGGTTCTGTAATCTGTCGTATGTTTCAGTTTTTATAGATACATTTTGTTTCCTTTCTGTATTTACTAGCACTCAGATTTGACAATCCTTGATTTAGGATGAGTTGCTTTATCATCCAAATAATTTACAAAGTTCTGTAAGGTTATAGTTTATGATTCTTTTCTTTTAATGATAACACAACCATTTTGGAACTGCAACTATGACTTACTTGATGATGAGAATGGTATCTAAACTAAATAGCTAGTGGAAATGTTACAAGCCCATTCCCCTCTCCGATCCATGCCTCTCTTTGTGCAATAAGTAAAGAAGCTGAATGGGACAATGGTGTCCTAAATGTTGTAAGTTGCAAGTATGCAACAAATGATATTAAGGTCTTTTTATACACCTATATATTCTTTCATAATCTTTCCTATGTGTGTAAATTGAACATTGTTGACCAACCTGTGTATGTACTTCGAACAAGTATTTAGAAAGTGATCGCTCAATTTGTATTTGGAAAGTGATTGCCAGCATCTATTTATGTACTTCGAACAAGTACTCCAATGAGTGACAATTCGATCCGACAATCCGAAAAATTATCCGATCCAAAGTTTAAAATCCGATCCGATCCAATGTTAATTTAGATTGGATTCGGATTGCCCTTTTCAGAATTCGAAAAATGAAATTTGAATCCGAAATATACTAAATTCGATCCGATCCGTGCACAGCCATGGCCCCGCCGTAGCCTCGTCACTACCTCGTCGAGGTTAGGCTCGGCACTTTGTACTAATACTGCACTCTACAATGTAATGTTCATCTAAATTTTATCATCATACAATTATTTTTCAACTATCATACAAGGTTGTGAGTTCGAGTCTCCCCAAGAGTAAGATATGAAGTTCTTGGAGGGAAGGATATCGAGGGTCTATTGGAAACAACCTCTCTATCCCAGGGTAAGAGTAAGGTCTGCGTACACACTACCCTCCCTAGACCTCACTAAGTGGGATTATACTGGGTTGTTGTTGTTGTTGTTGTTGTTGTTGTTTCATACAATATTCAAATAAAAAAATATTTATAACTATAACAAAATACAATTTACCTACAATTTTACTACAACTTTACTACAAATTCATAAGTATATTGTATATCATGTCGTAGTCGTCTTCTTCTTCTTTTTCGAGTTTTATTCTGAAATTCAGCAAAAATCAAGTCTGATCTTCACCAAAATACCCTCAAAACTGAGATATAAACCCCAAGCAATATACCCAATTGTTTGCAACAACACCCACTCCAAACAAATAATATTTTTTGAAAACCCAAATTTGATTTCAACGCTTCAAAGCTTTTTAATGGCTGTCAATGGTAGAGAGTCAAACACATTAAAAATTTATTGATTGATAGTATTAGTTTGAACACCAATTGTGCAACATGAAAGGAAATTGCTAAGTTAAAACGATTGAAATCCATTGATGAATTCTATTAAAACTATATACAACAAGAAAGCATAAAAAACAGATAACATCAAATGAAGAAAAATTAGGGAAAAAAATAGAGATGGAGAGAGGGCGGGGCGGGG